CCAGCTTCTCCCCATCAGCGCCAAAACATACAGCTGTCTCTCCCATTTTTAAAAAGCCGTTTCTGTTTCTAAGCAGTTGTCCTTTCTTTACAGCCAAGCTTCTTCAAATAAATTTTAATTCCCATGCGTTCCTTCACTCGATACAAAATGGTTACTGCCCCCAAGACTACACTGAATCCATTCTAGTGGGGGGCAGCAGTGACCTCCGTTTTCCTGATTGACAGCTCGATGCTCCTTGGTTCTTCCTTTGACAGCTCGTCCACTACAGCTTCCCGTTTTTCCTTTGGCTTCTCAGGCTGCTTATTCTTGATTTCCTTGACAGGCGGCTTTTGTTGTTGTTGTTGTTATTTTATTGTTTACTTTTTGTCCCTTAACTGTTGGTTTTCCTTAAAGTTCAGGCCTAGGTCACTTTCTCTTCACACTGAATTGTCTCACATTAATATTGTATTTACTTCTAATTTCAAAATTAGAACTGTATCAGGGGTTCTTAAAGGGAGCTTTTAGGTGGACTTAAGAGTATCCATTAACTCCTTAAAAGTTTATTAAAATTTTAGCATGTACATATATGTATGCCCCCTCTTCGCCTGCTCACGATATTATGAAAGGAATCTCTGACTCAAAAAGGTCAAGAACTAGTAATTTCTGTGCTGGCGAAAATCTCTGTGCCCATTGCCTCCTATCACCAATCAGAATTGTTCCAGCTCTGCTGAACTTTTTCATTTTTGAACTTGCTTTTCCTTACACTTGTTGATTCCGTCACTTGTAACAGTCTTTTATAACCCTCTGCAACTTCTTTCTTTGGCAGTGAGGAGCCTTTACAAGTTTTTTTTTAGTACTGTGTAGTAAAAAAAACTAGTGGGGAGTTTGCTGTCATATTGATAGCATATTTTGACATCTGCAAAGTAGATTTTTTTCTCAACATTGTACTATGAAAATTTTCAAAAGTACAGGAAACTCACAAGAATTGAACAGTGAACACCTATATGCCTGCCACCTAGATTCTACAATTAAAGCTGCAATTAACATTTGAATATTAATTTGCTTTATTATCTAACTATCCATCTATCCATCATTCTGTATCCACTCATCAAATTCATCTGGCAATGCAGAAACAAATCTCAGAATAGTTACACAAGGCAGAACATTTTAGGATAGGTAGCAGGCTATTTTAGCTTCTCTACAGTTTGCCGAGAGGCACGCACAAGCTAAGTAGTTACAATTCCAGCTCTCACAGATCAGCAGTAAAAAGCTGGGGCACCGCTTGAATTGACTAAGGGTGCAGGTGCAGCGGCTCTTCTGGAACAGCAAGTCCATGTGGACAGGTGTTTTTCAGCTGCAGTTAGGGTAATGAAAACAATGTATTCATCTTTATGCATTTCAAATTAAGTAGTGGACATTGGTAAACTTTACTCCAGAACAGTTTGGCATGCTTATCAGCTAGTGTTCAGTGTTTATTCATACTTTTTTTGGTGTGTATGCAAAAATTTACATATGAAGAAATAAATCAGAAGTGCCACTTAATGGATCTTAAGTGTGCCTGTGTGACCCAGTCTGCATCAAGATACAGAATATTACCCTCATTTCACCTTTCAGTCAGTCTCTGCCCCAGAAGCAACCACTATTTTGACTTCTTTCCATTGTCAATTAGTTTTACCTGCTCTAGAACTTCACATAACTGGGGGTCATCCTGTGTGCTCTTTTATGCCCCACTTGGTTTAATTAAAATGTTTTGAGTTTTATTCGTGTTGCATGCATCTGTTGTTTATTCCTTTTAACACTGAAATAGTATTGTCTGTATATACCCAGTTTGTTAATCCATTCTTCTGATGATGGGCACTGGGCTGTTTCCAGGATTGGGGTCTTACGATTAAAGCTGCTGTGAACCTTCTCATACGAGTCTTGTTTCAGTTTTAGGAAAATGCCCGGGAGTGGGATTGCTAGGTCATAGAGTACACATATGCTTAGTTTTATTAAAAGCCAGCAGTCCTTTTTCCAAAGTGGTTGGACTACGTTACACATCCACCAGCAAAGTGAGAGTTAGATACCCTGCATTGTTGTCAACAGTTTGTGTTGTCAGTCTTTTTAATTTCAGCCATTCTGGTGGATGCGTTTTGACACCTTTGTGGTTTTAATTTGTATCTCTCTCATAATTCATGATGATAGGTATTTTTCTGTGTTTCTTTTTTACCATTGTATATCTTTCATGAAGTGTCTGGTAAAATTGCTTGCATATTTTTCAGTCAAGTTGGTTGGGTTTGTTTTTTATACTGAGTTGAAGGAGTTCTTTATATATCATGGGTACCAGTCCTTTGCTAGATATATATTTTATGAATATTTTCTCCGAGACTGTGGGCTTTCTATTCATTTTCTTAAAGTAAAACCTTTTAATTTTGATAAAGCTCAATTTATCAATTTTTTAATGGTTATTATTTTTTGGGTCCTATCTAAAAATATAAAATGCTGTATAACTTGTTGGAAAACACTTTGGCAGTTTTTTAAAATATAAACACATACCTGCTAAATAATCAAGCCATTCCACTTGTAAACATTTACAAGAGTAAGATATTCTCCTATACTGTCTTCTAAAAGCTTTATGGTTTTATATAAAGAGTTAAAAAATATTCTTAATCGATTTTCTTGAATAAGAGGTAGGGGCGTGGTTTATTGTTTTCCATGCGGATATTCAGTTGTTTGAGCACCATTTACTGAAATTATTTTTCTTTTCCCTTTGGATAATTTTGGCATCAT